TTTTCTTGGCAATGTGTTAAATGAAACTTTGCTGGCTGGCTCATAACTTACTTCTGCTACCGCTGGCTGGCAAACACCGAATTCCGTTTCACTCTGGCTGGGATTGCGTAATTTTTGTTTTTTTAACCTTGCTGGCTGGCAAAAAACCGTCAAACATGATTGCTGGCTGGGATTTTTATTTTCTGAAAGTCTTGCTGGCTAGCAGTGTAGAGCGGGTATTTTTTTCCCAGGAAAGTTAAAGATTAACATAGGTTGACGTAAAAGCACTTTGCTAGCGTTTACGACATCGTATAATCAATTTTGCGAAAAATGTTCGTTGGGTACTCCTGATTGTTTATACCTATGGGCCAGTCCACGTAAACACAATGTAGGTTTACTGAAAACACGGGTTGGCATAGGCATACATGAAGTAGCGTGACCATATGAAAAACCGCTGGCACTCCGAGTGGGCTCACCCGATTTCCGCTTCCTGGTTCGTGAATTGAAAGCTTGTGCGAACTGTTTGTCGATATTTTGACAGAACGATTATTTCTACTTGTCTCGATGGCCACCTAAGACTCAGAGATCGTTTGTTGTACAACTTTACGCTGATTTATATCCGGTGTCTGACCATGGATTTGCCGGAGGAATACATGGAACCTATCCTTGATGCCATCATGCCCATACGTGAGGTAAAGTTGATTCACAAAACAGCAATAGAGAGCAGGCAGCAGCACATGGAAGACTTCCCTTCTGCTAGTATGAATACGATGCATCTCTTGTTCAGTGGCAGTAGCGAAGAGGGATTGTATCTACCAGATCTTTCCCTGGTGAGAAAACCACTGCACAGCTCCGAATCATCGATGGTTTCTGCCGATAAAGATATAATGATTGTTTGGGAAAACTGGCCGGTAAATGAGAAACTTCGGAGAAAAGCCTTCGCTGTTTTGGAAGTGAAAGGCTCTCATCCCGGCTACTGTCGGCTTCGCTTCAATCCAGCGTTTTCCTCTTTGAGTCCTAGAACTGAACGGCAACCGGAACTTAGATCAATAGAACATGGCGGGCTGGATAAGAATGGCTTCATATACAATTCCAAGTTTGTCGCGACCATGTCGAAGAAACTAAAGCTACAAAAGCAGGGAATATCAGTTTTCGAAGTTATTGACCGTCCAGGGTACAATCTTCGGACAAACCACTTGCTGCATGGGCCAGCTTTCACGAGCAGTGTGGCTTGCTCTGGCGGCAACGACCTCTCTGTGGATTACGTTCACTCACTCCACTGTCGCGAGTGGCCAGAGGTTGCCTCGGAATGGATACATCGACACAGGCCATCAGGGTGGCCCAGTCCGCGGCTGATACGGGACATTGCAAAACAGGGTTGCCATGTTGTACCTGTTTCACATCGGCGAAGCCAGCGGCCCAGCGTGGAATGGCGGTTATCTTTCTCAGAAGCGGAAGTGACGTTAGCGTTGACCTTGTCATCAGTCCCTAGAAGGTGCTACATCTTTCTAAAGCTGCTGCATATCTACAAATTCAAAAGGCATGGTGTGGCCTTGGTGACGTACTTTTTGAAAACCGCCCTATTCTGGATATGTGAGAGCATCAGTTTGTCGGAGTGGAAAGAGATGAAAACAGTTGAAGGCATTAAACGACTTTTGCAGTTCCTTCTTAACAGCTGCGAGGAACGCGCGTTACCAAATTACTTCGCACCTCAGAACAACTTGTTCAGTGGGTTAGGCCTTGTGCAGATGTCAAAGACAAAGGAAGCAATCAGAGAAGTGCTAGCAAACCCAGTTCAAAATCTCGTAGACCTTACACAGTTTTACAATGCTTCCCATATGCCTGTAGAGCCGCTGATTAGTGAGATTGTTGGCTGCTGTTTGTCTCGTTTTCCCAGGCCAGTGAGCAGCAGTGAGCTCAGTAAATTCCAGAGTTGTCTTCGCGGTCACGTCGTCAATGGATTACTCACACAGGGAGATTCAACGTACGAAGCACTCGCGGTTGTCACTTCTTGCGAGGACATTGAAAAACTCCCTTCTGCCACTGACTGCCTGGCTGCTTTTGAACGTTTTGTTGCAGTTGAATCTGATCTCGGTGGTATTGACCTGAAGCTGCAGCTGGCTGTGATTGCATCAATATATCATAATCTTGGCTGCTTGGCGTTACTGGAAAATGACCAGGAAGCTCACAGTGGTTTTTGCCAGAAAGCCAAGAACTTGTTTGAGACGCTACTGATACCTTCGGATCCAATTGACATTCATCAGATCTGGATGTTTGTGGACTACTGCAATCTCTTGAGGTCCCTCAAAGAGTACGATAAAGCTTTGCGAGTTGTTTATGCAGTCATGAAGGAACAGTCAAATAAGAGGTACCCCAATGTTTGTAACACTTATGCCAACCATAACAGCCACACAGGTGGTGACTATTTCTCATGGGAAGTTGAGCATCTCGGATCCGTCGACGTACTTTCATTTGGAAACTTGATGTATGTGGCTGCAATGTGTCATGTTGACCGAGGACGAGAGCTTCGGGGAAACCGTCACACTGGTCATAAAGGTGCCTGGATCTTTGCCGGTTGGTTGGAAGAATTTGTTCGCGATAAATGCAACCGATTTCCAGCAATAGGAGACGAGGCAAACATCGCCATGCTTGGATTCTTGATGATGGAAATGGAGGAACATCAGAAAGCAATCGAAATGTTTAACTGGGCGTTAGAGGTCAACCCTTCCTCCCTTCATGCGGAGGTGTACCGCGATTTGGCCGCAGACGAGATTAACAAAAATCTCAAAAACAAAAAAGCTTGAGTAAAGAGACCAGTGTTCATCTGAAGTCACATGTGATCTCTCAGTATTAGGGTGTTTCCTTCCTTGTTGTTTTCGGTTTCGTCACCGTACTCAAGAGTTCTCTGCAGCAAGTCTGCAGGTAGAATTATTTACAAGAAAGCAACTAATATTTGAGAAAAAAGTAGTAGCCTAATTATTCCTGTTCATCCTTAATTTTAGTTTACCGCTCTTTCATTTGTAAGGTTTTCAGTTTATGCAAGCTGCTGACGGCTGCTTCCGTTCATCGATGCTTGACCGCCTATCAACCTCGTCTCCACCGATCAGGGGGGCCGATATATGGCCCGAATGAAGATCGTCTAACGATCGGTATATCGACCGCGTGTCGCCAGTATTTGGCTCGTAGTGTGACTTCTGCAAGAGCTTTGTCATGTCATGCGCGGTTCCCGGAGAGTCAAACGTTTTGAAAGTTTGTAGAAAATAATTCACGTTCACCTTATTGTGGAAACTATCTCAAGTCAGATGTAAAAATTTTTGAAACTGGCTCAAACATGCAAACTTGCCCCTCAACCGAATCAATGTCCTATTTAATGACGTCATCCTCTTTGAATAAAGGTGTAGATTCGAAGCAGTGGGCATAACCTGTTTACTCCTAAAGGCTATTGAGCAAATACATTCAATCGTCACTTGACTCTTTATCATGATGTGTTCTGGTCAAAAGACTTATGAGTAGCAGCACTAAGTAAGCAGTAGACAGAACTATCAGGTCTTGGAACGATCGAAGTTCTAAGTAATTCATTCGGTGCGTGTTCCCTAATCAGCTCGATGTCCAGGGGGCCGGGGCGTACAGTTATGCCAGACCAATCAGTTAGAGACTAAACAGGGAAAAATAAATTTACATAGCCCGATCAAAAAGCCAGACCGAAATATTGATACCTGGCTTATGTCTTTTCCAATCTTTATAGTTTTTCATTCGCTGACTGGTTACTTTTCATCGAATTTTGGAAGATCCCATGTACGACTGGCCAAAGGGGACAACATCCGGAGATGGACAAAATTTCAACTCAGACCGAAATGTTCCATTTAGATTTCGACCAAAACTTCTACATCATGATAGAAAAATCCTCACAAAACTGAAACTTGCGGTTGCATAATGCTACTTGCGATATGCATTTTAACGGGTCAAAGTGTTTTATGGATTAATGAAATCCTAGAAACTAATGACCAGAGAATTTAAGAGTCACACTTTTGTAATGCAGCCCACTGAAAAATAAGGGCAGGGAATCATGGTAAGTGGGCAGTTAGTTTCAATGTGATTTCCAGTCTATAAAAAGAGATAAAACCCAATTATTAGTATTAATTAAATGACTACATGTCAGTGTTACAGGTCAAATTTGATTTCAGGTTAATTTTGACTTAACCTACATTATTTTGTAGGTTGATTCTCAATTTCCAGTGTCTCCTAGCCCAAGTCCCGTCTGCTCTGAAGCATTCATAAGTGGCTAATCCATTACTCTGTTGTATAGAGATCTCCATTTGAGAGAAGATAACATACCTCCCAGCAGGCTCCTCGGCGTTGAATCATTTAGACCTGTTGTATGTTCTTAGCTACGTAAGGGTTCCAGACATTTGCACGGTATTCCACAATCGGTCTCACAAGGGTTCTGCATGCTCGTTTTTTGAATTTGGCCGAACAAATGCGGAGATTGCGTCGTAGAAAGTTCAGAGACTTGTTTGGTTTGGTGGTAATTTCATTTTCATGATCATTCCAGCGTAAATCACGTGCGAGAGGTTGATCCCTAAATATTTAGTAGTATCAACAGTTTCTAGGTATTTTTAGGTATTTTACTTATTTGCCACACGATTACAATAATTACAAAAGATGCCAAAAAAAAAAATGTAGGAAGAGATGGCGAGGAGGCCTAAAAGAAACTATAGAGCTTATGTTAATTAGGCCTCCTCAATTACAATTTTTCGAAGATGGCATAAAAATTACGGCGAAGGATACAATATAATATTAGGTTAAAAATTAAACTAATCAATATTACTGAAGTTTACAAATGTTGAATATTAAAAGGCATTTTCCCAAGATTTTTGTTGGAGTATACTAATAATTATTACAAATAAATGCCTTAAGTGCTCTTTTAAAGGAGAAAGGTGAGAAAGCGTTGATGATGTTGGTGTTTAAGGTGTTGTAAAATTTAGGTCCTTGATAAAAAACGGAAAATTGTTTGGTTCGAGTACAACAGAAAGGCAGACGAAATTTACACGAGTTTCTTGTATTATACGAATGAATTTGACTTTGTAAGGTAAGTTTACAATGAAATTTTAAAGGTAGAGTATGGTTTTCATAGGAGTACATGAATAAGCCTAGTTGTATTAAGTATATATCATGAAATTTTAAGATACCAAGATTTTGAAAGATTGGATCAGTATGTGCATCGAAAGTGGTTTTAGCTATAGCTCAGATCACTCGTTTCTGTAAAATCTCAAGACGAATAAGGTTAGTTCTGTAAGTAGAGGCACAAACTAAGTTGCAGTAAAAAAGGTATGGATAGACTAGAGAAAAATATAGTGTCGTAAGGTTTTCGTGGATAAATAGAAACTGGATTTACGAATAATTCCTGTGCATTTAGAAACTTTAGGACCTAGGACCTTGTTTGTACTGAAATTTGAAAGGTGGACGTCTGCGTGTTACTCGTATAGCGTGGCATTTGCATGGAGTAAATTGCATACATCAGTGTGATTCCCATTTTTCCAAGCAATGAAGATCATTTTGGAATTGCCAGCAATCCCTCTCAGATTTTATTTTAAGGTAAATGACAGTGTCAGCGACAAAAAGACGGGCCCGTGACTTAACATAGCGTGGGAGATCATTAATAAAAATAAGAAACATTAACGGACCCAGTACTGATCCTTGGGGTACACATGAGGTTATCGGAACTGAATGCGAATGCAGTCCTTCTAGAAATACACTTTGTCTTCTTTTCTCAGGAAAACTTTTCAACCACTGCAATGTAGTGTCATCAATGCCACACTTAAACAATTTATATAGCAAGCCATTGTGTGGAACCTTGTCAAATGCCTTGCTAAAGTCCATAACAATGACATCTGATTGCCCCCCTCCCTGCATTTGTTTTGCGAGAAAAAATCCCCTAGGATTCGAGGCTGTAGGTTGTCTGAACCAGGTGCCTTATCGGGATTTAACATGATTTAACTTTGCGCATGTTGCAACTGAATCCACCCTTAGTATCCAAGTGTATATTCTATGAGTTAATATGAATTTGTGGTTTGGTGAGTTCATTTGAGTCATGAAAGCGCACAGGTTCTTATTCAGTGTTTGTTGGAAAACTTCTAACCACACACCACGGGGTTTACCACGATTGAAGTTTCCCTCGATCTAGATGCGAATGGAATCTTAGTTGTGTCTGCTAAAGAACTGGAAGAACCAATGCCATCACCATCACCAATGACAATGGAAGACTGTCGAAAGTGGACATCGATCGATCGCATGGTGGCTGAGAAAGGATTACTTCGAGAGACAGCTTGGAAAGTTGTGTGTACAGTGTAAAACAGGAAGCAGAAGACCCAAATGTTGACAACAAACTGAATACCGCTGATCTGGAGACGGTGAAGGAAAAGACTAAGGAGGTGATGGCTTTGTGCGAAAGGAATTACCTGCAGGCAGATAAGGAAGAATACGAAGAAAAACAAAACAATCTCAGTTCAACAAGTGTGTTCTCCTATCATGGCCAAGCTCCATGGACAGCAGCAGCAACAGCCGCATCCTTACAGCTCTTCCGACGGACTCACCGTGGAAGAAATGGACTAAGCCGGTCAAACAGTGGAGTTATATCCAAAGATTTTTACAAAGCGAAACGTAGTGTTAATTATAGTACACCACAAAAAGATCAGTCGATCACTGCTTCCTTTTTATTGACTTTTAAGTTTACATTATAAAACAGGTATTTCACATCAGACCGCAGAAGGCAAAGCTTGCATTGTAATACGGTATAAAATGTTACTTAACGTGTTAGCTAACAATACGACTGCATTTTTATTTTACTTCGAAGGTTCGAACCACTTTCTACCATTTTCAGTATTTTTATCTATAAATGTAATGCATACAACAATTATAAAGTCAATAAAGCTGTTTATTTTAAGGTTTCGTATAATTGCTCTACATAGCATTGTTCACCAAAAGAGAGGACGTGGAGAACAGAAAAAAAAATGAGCGGCGAACAAATAATATCCTTTGAAAAACTAAATTGGCGGACAGCGCGGGTAAATTATTCTTTTGCTCTCAATACTGAGTTATTTGAACGGATGGCACAACAAGAAACACGTCAGTTTAATCAACTCGTTTTCCAGCTGTCTGAGCTGTGTTGAGGAAAAAAAACTAAAAATAGCTTAACTAATACTTTTATTAATTTTCCTAATTTTTGCTTTATTGTCTTTTCGGGAAAGTAACCCAAAGTACTAACGTTTCACCGTTGATGTCACTTTACAAACTCAACCTTTTCTATACATGCACAGCTCAGAAAAATCTATATATCGTTTTTACTCGCGCGATCAACCACTCTACAAATCTTTTTAGAATAAAAGAAATCTTGTACATGAGAAGAGATTAATCCTTACAGGACTTTTTTGATACACTAACATGGCCCTCACTAAATATTTTTTGGTGTACCAATATGGCGAACTTAACAACCTGAAAACGATCTATTTCATGAACGAATCTAAAGCTGGAAACCAGAGATTTCCCGTACAAACGTCTTTTTGAAAAGCCAAACAGGTCCTTTTTACTCCTCAAAGCATTCATATCTCTTTTAGTCACTATAATGCTAAGCTAAAGATAGACTGCAAAACAGCCCGTATTTCTGGACGACATTCGCCCACTTCGCGCGAATTTTTCACGCCGGTACTTTGCGCCCTGGCTTTGCAGTCTACGCTGAAAAAGTCCACTAAACTTCTTGAGTGTGAAAAAATAATGAAGGTTAACGCGCGAAGTCACCACTGATTGATTTTACACTTGTTACTGAAGCGCTGCACCTATATATTTGCGCTGCAGTTTGTGTTCACTGAAAATTCAAATCCGAAAATCTGATGCGTCCTGAAAAGTGACCATTATTTAACAAAGTTAGAAAAGGAGGAGGTGACTTGAATCAAGAGAACTGAGATAATGGGGACCTGCCGCAAAATACATATCCATGATCTAAAGTCCCCAACTTCCATATGTCTCCGTCAACAAAGGGTAAGGCGTTGGCCAAAAACCCAACTCACCCGCTGATGGACCAACGTCAACTCGGAGAAACAAGGTGTCGTGTTCAAGATAACACCTTGTCATAAGTTTATCTTGAGATAAGAATTCATGAGACCCACGAGAATTCCTACTACCGCTCTTAGGCCTTTCCGAAACGGTATTCGTGATGCATGACTCGACATTATCCTGATGGATTTCACAAGGTTGTTGATCAATCAAAGTAATTGTCATAGTTATTTTTACGGGCCAAGGTAACAAAGCATCATATTCTCCCTTTAATACGTTATTGTAGACAGAAAGATGACTATTCGTCCCAGACCCATTACCGTTAGGATACAGTGATAACTGTAATTTGTAGCCACAGCTATGCGTGTAAAATGTTTGACTTTTTATCTTAAACTTTTCTTCTCTCTTTGCTTTTCTGAGCATTTCAGAAAAATTATCTATCTTCCATATAAACCGAGTTTTCATCTGCATCACTTTATGTACAGCTTCATTGACTTGCTTTTCATTTAATTTTTCTTTCAGTTGTCTCTCGAGCCAGTCCACTTTCCTCACCAACTCTATTGTTGTCTCTTGCGAATTATTGAGTTGAGTCTGAGTGTTGTTCAGCTGAATTTGAGTTTTATTCAGCTCAACCTGTGTATTTGCCAACCGCTCTTCAGTGTTATTCAACTTCACGCAAGCTAAAACAAGATGCGCTTCAGTAGAGGACTGAAGATGTGAAGCCATATTTTCGCGCATGACCTAAAAGAAAACGTGGACTTCATTACCAAACTTATTTTAATAAGAGTATCGTGTTTGAGAAAGATGTTATGTTCGCAATGTCATGACGAAGGATCAAAAAAAATTTAGTCCCCGACGGTTTCACTGATACCAATAGCCACACGGAATGAATACCGGGTGAGGGCTGCATGAAACCTCTGGGAAATGAAGGACCTCATGGTGACCCAGACTACAATTCAAAACTTATTAATAATTCATAAAGAAAAAACAAAAGAAATTAAAATGTAATAATGAGTGTCTTCACATCTGATAAAGGCACGGTTAAACTTTACGTCCAATTTTTCAGACCAAAATAACTCCAAATCTAAATATAAGTGCAAGAATGAGTTGATCTATATCAGAGATTTTGAAGCCATTCAAAAAACTCGCAGTCGTGTATCATCAGGTTTAAAAACCCGAGGTAATCTCTCGGCTTCGCCTCGAGTTCTTATCGTCTTTGTTTACTACTCCAAGGTAAAACAAAACAACGTCGTCCGATCTCCGCCGACTCCTTACTTACTAGTGTTGCATAACCAATTTCTTAAGGTGGAATGGTAAGGTTTGGTCTTGCGGAAGAGGTGAAATGAAGTCTCCCAGCAAAGGGCACTACAGGGAGTGCCCAGCCCCTTCCCCCAGGGGTTTGCTCAAACCAGAGGACCGAAAATAACAAAATAATAAGTACAATAAATAATGACTGATTTAAGAAATGTGACAAACACACCTTTGTATCGCAGCCAACTGAAAGAAAAGGGCAGGAAATAATAGAAAGTGGACAGTCATTTTTAGTGTGATTTCCAATCTGAAAAAAATCAAATCCAAAATACATGTACATGTAAGCGTTTCATCCACAAGTATAAAGGGTCATTTTCTTTCTGACACAATGTCTGGAACAGAATTAATGTATTAGCTTGATGCTTTACGATAACATAAAATTCAATCAGAATGCATTGTTCCGAGCAACGTTTGCTTTATAGGCAAGTTAACAAAAGAACCCACCCAGGCAGTTAACAATATCAACCATAAATAAACAAGATTTCTAAGCAAACACAAGGAAATCACTAAAATGATAATTTGCAGAAGTTACCTGACGTAAATACTTAAGATCCCCTATTATTCATTCAAAATACTTCCCCAATTCTGATTGGCTAAAAGCACACACATAATTCACCATAACCACATACTGATGACCAAATTTGGAAGAATTTTGTGTTTAACGAGGAAATGACGTCAAAAATGCAGCCTTCTCCAGGTTAATGCACCGTTAACCAAGAAGACCTGGGGACGAGGTTGAGTTGTTTTTTCTTCATATGATAAAAAAGCCGAATTCAATAATTGTTTTATTATTCATTCAAAATAATTCCTAGTTTAAAAACATGGCTAAAACATGCTAACCTCCATCGATCCATCGATGTTAAGTTCATCTTCGATGGTGCACGTTTAGGTTTGTCCAGCTCCGCAAATATTCTGCAAATAGCAGATGTCGCCCTTCGAGTTGTCTTCTTGCTGTTCTTCCCATGTTTTTAGCTATGTTTTCGCCTAGTTCTTACTCTTAAAACGAGTGAAATGTCCGCCATTTTTCAAGTTCACAATCAAAACAACTCAACCTCGTCCCCAGGTTTTGTCGGTTAACGGTTCCTTAACCTGCGAAAACGCCGCATTTTTGACGTCACTTCCTCGTTAAAGACAAAATTCTTCCAAATTTGGTCATCAGTAACTGGTTATGGTGAATTAAACGAGTGCTTTTAGCCAATCAGAATCGGGAAAATATTTTGAATGAATAATAATAAGAATTAAGCAGATCTCGGAGGGTGTTATACACAGACTTCATATCCTACTCAGCCTCATTCATTAACTGCTAATTAAGATCCCACATCTTTCGAAAAAAGGTTTTAGTTGAGAAGTCACATTGGGTGATTACAAGACAATATGTTTTCTTTACAAGATATTTGGCTTCAACCTTTGTGTGACGTCAAACAAAGGACTCCTACTACAAGCTCCAAGAGTTATTACTCATACGACACTTGGTGACCGCACTTTCTTGGCTGCGGCACCAAAACTATGGAACAGCTTGCCGGACATTAATATTCATAATGAGGAAAATTTTAACACTTTTAAAACATTGCTTACAACACATTTTTTTACACTAGCTTTTTATTAGGTCCAATAGATATTTTGTAAATTTTTAATAAATTTATTATTACTACTATTATTATGACTAGGCAGCTCATATTCACTGTTATCCTTACCTCTTCTCTTGTTATGACCTGACCACACCCATTGGAACAATCAATTGGAAACTTTACACATTCAGAGGCATGTTTCTGCAGACAAAGAAAAAGATCTGTTTTAAGACATTGCTACTTAATTAAAATTGCTTCAATTTATTTTATTTTTATTTATTTTATTAGCTTTGCCCTGAAGAATACAAAAAAACACTGAAGATATGCAAACACTAGTAATAAGAACGTAACAATACACTAATAATAACTTAAATATTTGGGCAGGGACACCGCAACAGCTTAAGCCAGTTACTGGGGACCCAAAAAATTAAAAGATATAAGAGTAACAACTTAAATCACATACAGCAGCTAATTTCTTGGTCTAAAAACCTGGCTGTGTTACATTTCAAGCAAATACTTTTGAAGCTCCTTGGAGAGTCCGTGTCATAGTTTATTGCTAGAGCCCGCGAGTAATAACCGTAAAGAACAGATTTAAAGTTCTCAAAAGTAACATTATCTAGGTCAAGTCTAGTAATAAGCAGGTTCCAGATTGTAGTGGTTCTAATGAAAAAGGATTTCTGAAAGGTAGAACTCCTGCATTTTTTAGGCACAAATGATTGAGAGCTCGTTACGGATACACGGGTCCTTCGCGCGCATTCGCGCACGAAGGGAACGGCAGACGGATCTAAGTGAATCATATTATGCGTACCCTTGTAAAAGTATACTAGATCTAGTAACTCGTGCCAGTAGCGCACAGGAAGTAGGTTTACAGACATTAGTCTTTCTTTGTAAGAGATATTTGTTAAAAAAGGCAAGCAAAGAATGAATTTTGTGGCACGTCTTTGGATACTTTGGAGTTTAGAAATTAGTTCAATGCTTTGGGGCGCCAAGACCTCGGTTGCGTAGCCAAGATGAGCACGAACTAGCCGGAGGTATAATGTGCACCTTACGGAAGTACTGTGAATAAACCTAGAGTTCCTCCTAACGAAATCAAACAACTTGTTTGCGCGTGCAGCTTGGTGAGAGACTTGGGCGTGCCAAGTCAGGTCACAGTCCAAGGAGACGCCAAGGTCACGCTCTACCTCACAGGACTTGATGGTACTGCCGTTAACTTAGTAGCTCGTACAGATGGGCTTGCGCTTTCTCGTAATGGTCTGAAGCTTGCATTTCTTATCATTGAAGGCTAGCCCAAAGGCAGCGGACCATGAAGACAGATTATCCAGATCTTGTTGGAGAGCGGCGCCATCATCCTCAGACATCACTACCTTGTATACTTTAGTGTCATTTGCAAACATTGCCACTTTGCTATTGAGGATAGAACCTGGAAGGTTGTTCACATATAACAAGAAGACAGCAGGTCCAAGTATTGATCCCTGTGGGACTCCAGAGGTGACAGGTAGGTCACGTGATGTCGCGCCTAGTACGGTGACACGTTGGCGCCTGCCACAGAGATAGGCATGAAACCATGTGAGCAGGTTCCCTCCGAAGCCAGCATCCCGCAGTTTTTCCATAAGGAGGTCATGTCTAACCTTATCAAAGGCTTTGGACATGTCTAAATACACACAATCTACTTGACCAGCTCTATCAAGGATAGTACCGTAAAAACTAGGGTCTCCAGTAGATTTGTGACACATGAACGTCCACTCCGAAACCCGTGCTGACAGTCCGCAATCAGATCTTCTAATCGGCCATTGATGCGGTTCAAGACGGGATATAGGCCTATAGTTTTCAACATGATCTTTTTCATCCTTCTTATAGACAGGCAGTACATTGGCCAATTTCCACTCAGACGGTATGTAGCCTTCCCCCAGAGACCTGTTGAACAGCTTGCATAGTGATGGAGCAATAGTAGTGGCAACCCAGTGGCTTTGTTTGGGTCTAGTGATTTTAGGACAGCCTGAACGTCGCCGACGTGCAACACAATATCGCTAAAGGGAGGTTCTGCGGCAGGGAATTTCCCTGCGCCGTTATCTAACTTGTCCTCTTGAGGAACAGAGAACACTGAAGTGAAATAGTTATTAACTATTAATAGTTAACACTACAGCTGCCCCCGTTCCGTATATTGTCGGTCAATAGTATTCTTGCTGGTTGTGTAGCTCTTTGAAATATACCGATTCATAACGAAGATTTTCGCACATATTCCATACAATAAGTGAGATAAATACAGGAAACGCAAGGTTCCATGCACAGTTTCAGTTCGATTTACACAGCTTTGATCAAAACATTCTCAGTTTCGAGAATAGTTTATTCTAAACCATAAGAAAGGATTTAATTAGAAGTTGAGTTTTTCTCTATTTCTCTTTCCCCTTTTTACATTCAGTTCATTTTATTTGCCGGAAAGTAAGCCTTGGAAATTAAGAGGACGTTTGATCGATTCACGCTGGCGCATTCTAGTCTTATTTGAAACTTTATAACGAAAGGACATCTGTGAGCAGGGAATAAGTCAGCACAGAATTTGATTGTCGCCGAATTTCTGTAAATGTCCATCAATCTGCTAGTGATAAGCTAGCCGTTGTTCACTCGTCTTGCTTGTTTGGGGCTGAGTCTTATTCCGGTCAAAGAGAGAGAAAAAGTGTCTGGCAAGGTTTCCAATATAAATCAAAGATTTGTGAACTCGTGTCTGGAAAACTCTCTAAGTGCTTATATATACACAGTTAAACGCACCTTATAACCTCCCCTGCGCTTAACCAGTGTCTTTTGGTCCATAACTTTCAAAACAACTGCTCCACAGAATGTCACTGCGTAACGCAAAAGAGTATCGAAGTATGACTGCACAACAAATGTCACAAAATCTACCTGAGCGGTCCCTTCGGGATTTTCGGTCTTTACGTCATCCTAACCATTTCGTACTTGCGGGCGCAAACAATAGAAACGTCATCATTACCTACCGATTCCTTGCGGCCCTAGTTCGAGCAAATCGAGATTTTTTCTAGTATACTGACTGTATATTTGAACTGTAAGTACTGTCCTTAATATACGCGCGAGTCACTAGGGTGCCTCCTCGGGATTTCGCCTCTGGGCGAAATCCCTGCGGGGGCAAAAATATCTGCGATTTCTTCCGGGGTGTCAGCGGTTGCACCTAGGTTATCCGTTGCCATGGAGACACTTTGTGGTATGTTGCGCGACTTTGAGCGAGTTTTTAATACTGACCAGAGAAGTTTGGGATTGATCTTGAACTCGAGGTTAGCAGACTCAAAGAACTCGTCCCTGCTTTCTCTGATCGCGCGCTTTACTTGTGAACGCAGAGTTTGAAATTTGACTTTTAGTGACTCCGACGGGTGCAATTTTAGTTTCCTGCGTACGGTTTCCTTTTTCTTGATAAGATTGATAACGGCATCTGTGAGCCAGGGCACGGGGTTTCGACCTCTTAATCGCTTGGTTGGAATATTGTCTTTCACCGCAGCAAGAAATAGAACAGGTCTGCCAGCAGCTTTCAAGGTCGCCCTCACCCACCACACTTGTAAGATTAACTGAACGCAGAGCGTTTCTAAGGCCGTCAAAGTCTCCTTTTTCATAATCATACACAGAATGGTGCGTCTTGACAGGGACCTTAACTAAGGTGTGGAACTCGAAGAAGACGGTGCGATGATCCGTGAACAAACCAGCTTTGTCTATTTCTAGGACTTCGGACACGCTTGTTTGGTCTGGGACACTGGTGATGACTAAGTCTAAAACACTGGAGCCACGCATGGGCTTGCGTTGAATTTGAGTTAAATAGTGGTCGTGTAACGCCTCCACAAATGCTTGTTCATTGGCACCTCTGGAGGCATCAGGGGCGTCCCATGAGATTTTTGGATAACTAAAATCACCACAGATTACCATATTGTCAAAGTCCTCGCAAACCCAGTCCAGAAAATTATTGAATAAATTAAACCAACACAAATCCAGATCTGGCGGTCGGTAGAAAGAACAAAATAAAATCTTTCGATCTTGGGAAGTTGTGACCGAAGCTGCTACGACCTCTAGTTCTTGTAGTTGTTCAGGTAGAGGGATTTCGCGTATAGACTTGAACACAGCGTTCTTGATTGCGATAAGCACACCACCGGCACTATTGTGAGATCGATCTTTCCTAAAAAATTATATAATTATCTTTAAGGATCTCTTTAGCCAGGTTTCATTGACGGAGACTACATCCATATCCTCTGAGTACACCAGGTCTTGAAACTGTTGTAGATTGCAGGCGAGCACTTTTGATCCGTCGCTGTTTACAACTTTCTTTTGGCTCTTCAGGCTCTGTGCGTTCGATACCATACATTTGATAACCGAAATAGACTCTGAGGAGCCTACAGGTCTTGGATGAGAAGCGACATCACCACAGAGCAGTAGGAGACCGACAACAAAGTTATCGAGGTTAGTGTAGTCACGAGTTGAAAGTAGGTTGAGTTTGGTAAGCGATTTGTCTGCGGCAGTTGAAAGTAGCTTGAGTTTGATAAGCGATTTGTCTGCGGCAGTGGGCTTGGAAAACCTCCATAGCTGGAACATACCATTAGAGCCGTAATTAGTGTGACTTGGCGCTGATGTACTAAGCCAGTGACGGATAAGTCACTGTCTCTATGACTACTGGGTTGCCAGTAGCTATATTACATGTACCATTAAGTTGTTAGTCTTTTGAGAACAGTTCAGAAAGATGAGATGGGGATCAGGCGAATGAAATATTTGGTCAAAGTACTTTTGGTGATAAACTACGAAAAATATGACAGAATTACTGGGAATTAAGGCTGTTTGAAGGTACAGTAGTAACCAAAAAAAAAAAACAACTCTGAGTAATCAACTCTTTGTAAGATGGACAGTCAAATACATTTATGTTCAGGTTTTAAGATGTCTGTCAAGAGAGATGACTCTACTCACTTTGAAAATGGAACACAACGCTAATTGTTGGTATTGGCAGAAACTTTCTGTCAGACGATGAAGCATTGGAATTCTAACATTTAGAGCAAGAAGAAGAAGAAGAAGACTATAGAAGTCTATTGGTGTCCATAGAAGTTACAAACTGAATTACCTTCATACATACAATAGCCTGGGACCAGGCTCCGCAGTGGGGAAAAAAGGCAAAAAACAAAATAGGAAAAATATCGGGGAGTGAAGCAAGCCCAGCAGTGGTCTGGAGAGGGGGAAACACCCTTTCCCCTCCCAAGATTACCTCTAAGCTCGCTTCGCTCGCCGATTATATTTTTCCTTTTTACCCCAATTTAGAGCCTGGTCCCAGGCTAAACATACAAGTACATACAAACATTCTCTGCTCGCATATAGCTTGGGCTAATCGAGGCTGGCAGAGGAAAACATAAATTAATTTACTAGGAAGAAATTAAGAAAAGGGAGATAGATCTAAATTAATGACACAAGAAGATGAACTGAAGTTATTACAATTTACAACGTTACAAAATTCCAAACTTATTTAACCTTTTTATATCATCTTGCTTAGTTTATTATTAAAGCAGGTGTGTGTCAACATGTATCCTCCAATTCTAAAATATGTCAAAGAAGCTGATGTAAAGAAGCCTTAAATAAGTGTTTAGGGAGTACTTGGATACTTTGAGAAATACTGTTCCAAATTCTTGTGCCAAATCTAGAAAAAAAATATTTTAAGTGATTTGTCCCAGAATTATAATGTTTAGTAAAATCCAACTAGTGGTCTATTATTAATGCTGCATTCTGGTTGGTTGAGCTACTACCAGGCTATATGTTATAGCCCACTAGTAGCGAAAGCCCCGGCTTTTTGGCGGTGAAAAAAGGATTAAAGTCTACAATCCCGGACAAAACTACTTGAGAAAGTTTTCCCCATCATGTCCACTTTCCTAAGCAACAAAACTATTTCCAAAACGACGCCCTTGCGGAAAGAAAGCCCCTTCCCCCAATTCAATGTTGCTTCCCACAAACGCCCAGGGATCAGGCTTTCTTTTGAATACACAACAACATTGCTTTCAGGGGAAGGGGGAGAGGGAAGAACCGGTACAGCTACGATGTTTAGAAAAATGCTGTCCAAGTATACAATTTTCTCAACAGTTTTGTCCAAGATTGTGTACAAGGTGATTCGCATTTTCTCGCAAGAATATTTGCAAGGACAAAACAAAAACATGCCAATAAAGAACACTTTACAGAAGCAGTTTTGAGCACAAAGTTTCACGCCACACCATCTTCTCATAGGAAAGTAAGACCTCATATACGTTTTTTGCAGCACCCTCTTTAAAACAGTCAGATTTCGCAATAGCCGAACAACGCGTGCTAATTGTTACATATATGTAGTGTGTTTCTTTGGACTGGATATCGCCACAGTTTCAAAAGTAAGCGTTCAAATGTGAAAAGTAAAAATGCAGCTTTTGTAAATATTTCATCCTCTCTCCATTTGATGCTTTTATTCATTGCAAGTGCTTACCCATTGACTATTTCGGCGATGGGAAAATTGTTCAAAGTTGTCGGGTCACGCGCTCTGAAAATTCAGCAAAAGTTTCATGTTATTTGCTAATCGAATCGTACCGGGTGTAATTCCCGTTTTCTGGCTAAACTGCTTGACGGACACGTCCTTTTCGTCCTAGAAAAGCGCAATGTATGCCCGCTACTCTTCACTCAAAGCGCGCGTAAAAACCATGCATGGAAAATGAATTTCGCAAACGTTCTTGACTGACCACTCCAATCAAGTAAGACAATACAATTGGTTTTCTTGTCATAAACGCCTCTGTTTTCACTCATTTTGCATTAATTATCTACTTTTCTTTGAAATGTACTACATTTATAAAGAACAGGTTTATTTGGCTGCGTTAAAGGCTGCAAATCGCCTTTCCCAGTCAAATACAATTCCGGACAAAACTACTTGAGAAAGTTTTCCCCATCATGTCCACTTTCCTAAGCAACAAAACTATTTCCAAAACGACACCTTTGCGGAAAGAAAGCTTCTTCCCCCAATTCAATGTTGCTTCCCACAAACGCCCAGGGACCAGGCTTTCTTTTGAATACACAACAACATTGCTTCCAGGGGAAGGGGGAGAGGGAAGAACCGGTACAGCTACGATGTTTAGAAAAATGCTGTCCAAGTATACAATTTTCTCAACAGTTTTGTCCAAGATTGTAGCTTTAACTGGGCGTATGGAAAAGCCGGAATCCCGAACGGGAAAGGAAACGGAACCGGAACCTGAACCCGAACCTAAGAAACAAAAATTGGAGATGTTTCTGTCTTGAGAGTGTCACTTACAGTAATTTTTATGACATTGTTATTACATTTTTTACCGTCGCATTTTTTCTTCGAGAATTTCATAAACGCGTCTCCTCCTCCCTTTGCCGCCTTTCCCTCACAATGGATGAAACACGGAGCCCTTTTAAGAAAAGGTACGAGTAAGAATACAAAAGTTTTCATTCTTTTCCGTTTTACTGAGTTTGAAAAGATGTTACCATTTTACAAAAACATGTTTGTTTTCGTTTAGAGATCGCGACAAAGCGACAAATCGATTGAAATGTGAGTAAGTGTGAAAATGTGAAGTTACTGTGCCTTGAATTTATGCTCGCGTCTGCGGTGGAACAGCATGGGCTGATTCTTTGAATTTTAGTGGTTAAGTTCTTTTTTTTTATAAAGTCATGTAAAGTACAACTGTTTGTTTTTTCTGGTAAAAGTGTCTAAGCGTGATGTGTAAGCATGCTTGATAAAGTAGAACACATACGTGTAATAAATAACCAAACATAAGCTCTTTTGCGCGGGGAGTATATCTTTGGTATCACGACCATTGTGCTGAAAATTTCTCAAAACAGTGATAACAGAGGACGCCATCTTNGATGTGTAAGCATGCTTGATAAAGTAGAACACATACGTGTAATAAATAACCAAACATAAGCTCTTTTGCGCGGGGAGTATATCTTTGGTATCACGACCATTGTGCTGAAAATTTCTCAAAACAGTGATAACAGAGGACGCCATCTTGAATTTTATTTCCACACGGGTATCGGGAACTGGTTTCAGTGTTTCCCAGTTTACCCTGGTCTCAATTTAAGTTCCAGTTCCGGTTCCGGTTCCGGTTCCGGCTCCTGCTCCGGCTCCAGCTCCGGTTCCGGATTCCGGATTCTGGCTTTTCCATACGCGCCTTTAACCAGCTAAAGTTGTTTCGTCTACATATTTTTGACCAGCAAGTTGGATTTTACTAAAACAATTATTCCTCTTGCTCTCATGGCCTCTGAGTCAATTGACTTAGAGCCCATTTGGGCTCGAGGAATAATTGTTAAAAAGACGACTTACTACATGTAGTCTCTGAAAATCAAGTATTGTACATGAAGCTATGCACTTGTGAAGGTTCAAGAAATAGGAACTAGAAATATTTTCTCACAAAAAATTGTTAGCAACGTCATGCATAATAGTTCAAACTGACTTGCAGTACTGAAAATTAAGCAGTTGGATATTATATAGGTTGAATAACAGGATCACATGAGATCTGTGTGGAGCAAAGTGAATTAAAATTCAGTTTAATGAAGAGTGTGTTTTTGCAAAATTAATAGTTTGTCCAATTTTGTTTGAGCAGTTTGGCCCCATACAGCAATACCATAAGTTTTGTAGGGCTGGATCAAAGATTGATATACAGTGTACTTAGTAAATTAACAGTGGGAACAGTGTCTCAGTCTTGTGAGAATTCCAAGAAATTGCCAGATCGTTGAGGAGATAAATTATATATGATTCTTCCAAGTGAGCTATGAGTCAATGAGCCATACCAAGGTATTTGAGGTAGTCTTCCCCTTCTAAGAGGTTACCAGGTGCCAGATCCCTTACATTAAGTCCAAGAGATGAAGAGTGTAAAACCTGTATCAAATTATAGTTTCTAGAGCTTCCTTTTCTAAATATACCAAATATTTTGCAAAAAAATAGAGCACCAATGTTTCCATGACTATTACAAAACAAGCACTCTTATCCGCCTTTCAATGAAAAAAGTTTCAAAGATCCAGTTCAGGAAAATAGCACTAAGTAAGCATCAATTATCTCTTTAAATGATCATGCCCAGAACTATAATTCAACTTACAGTTTCCAGTAACCTTAAATTAACAGGGTCAATTTCTTAATTGTCAGGGTCAGTTGTCTCTCATGTACTTCAGACTGGAGATATTTCACTGGAATTTGACCCCATACCATATTCTGGCCCCAGGGTGAGTATTTTGACTAAAAATAATTCTTTGACAATGTTCAGTTGCCCTCAATATACCCACCTCACCCCATAAGACTTGACAGTGATAGGTGCATACATGTAACTTCACTGTACCTCTTCATCACATTTATAATGCTCCTCATTGCAGTAGCCACAGTGTATTATTCTCCATTGACACACATTAGTCATATGATCTTCCACAAGCCTTCTTTCCATTTTCATGTCACAGTTGGAATTGGGACAAGTGACAATCTTGTAAGCACAGATCTCAAGGTGAGTCTGAAAAGAAGAGGCCAAAAATTAAATTCATACTAACCTTATGGAAGAAGTATAAAAATGCCTAGGACACAAGAGGTCTCACCAAACCATGAGTCTTACCTGAATTAATTTCCACAGGGTAAAGGGGGACATAAAAATAGATATTATGGAAAACATTTAGGATGAACTTTAAATGATTTTCTTTGTTTTTCTCCCCCTTTTTCAGCTGAAACATGCTCATTCAAGTATGGTCATAAAGATCTCAATGCTCTGGCAGTTAAACTGATGATGTCACAACTGGAACGAGGTGGAATTTCACAGGAGGTTATTAGTGGTTCAGGAGTGAATGAGTTAACATGGTTTTTAGGAAAGAAAATGACCAAATGTCTCTGAAGTACATTGGTCCCAGAGTGTGATACTGATAATGAAGTGGTAATATAAACAGATCATTATACATTTCTGGGAAACTGCCCACCTACCCCTCCCCTAAGCCAACATTTTTCCTTGAGTGAGAAGTGTTAATGTTAGCTTAGGGGAGGGGTAGGTGGGCAGTTTCCCAGAAACATATAATGATCCTAAATGGATCATTAGGCCATGTTTCACTTTATTAGTGACAATTAAAATCTTTCAAATAATTTTCAGCTGCCAAAAACATGGAGTACATGAACACACACTGACATACTAAAATCCAGATAAGTGATACAGGACACAGCTCAGGGTGGTAAGGCCTTTGTAATGGGTATAGAATTTCTTGATCAACCAGCTGAGAAAATGGTTTAGACTATGTTTGAAAGTTCTGGTTTGAAACCAGTCCATGGTCCGTTCGTAGCTATACCGACAAACATTACATTAGTATTTATAAAATAACTGAGATAGTACGTGTGATCTGATTGGTCAAAAACCTATGGTTTACTATACCGGTAAACCCATAGAAAAAGGCATCTGAACCATGAGCCATAAACAAAACCGGCAATTGATCTGCAAACAACGATTTTAGAAAGGCTAAAAAACAGAAAAAGTTACTTACACAGCCCTTCGTAACGTTAAAAGCGTTGGTAAATCACTTGTAAATCACGAGCCGAAGGCGAGTGATTTACAAGCTTTTCTCGTGTCCTCCCAACATCCCGCGTGGGTTATCACACTGGTAAACCCATAGAAAGTGTGGTCTATTGCTTAAATATCTCGTACCTCTACATATCTAATCTCTCCAGTCCACTCACAGCCTTCACTGGGACATTTCACGCGACAAGAGAGAATACTTCTTTCTGTAGCTTTATCAGGGAATATATCCTATACATTAATGGCAGCAAATAATAATCACATAATTACTTTACTTGTCAGAGACAGTACCCTACAGATCTTTGAATTCATCCTTTTAACCCTGCTTTACTCTACAGAGGCCTTTTAAAAGACTACTAAATATATTATTTGGAAATTGGGTGGTTCCAGAAAATATCCTAGACGGATAATGAACCAAAAGAATGTCTGCTTGGGAGGCTAGGTAGGATTGCGATCAAAAAAATGTGAAGAGGGTACTTAGTTTTTATAGCAGAGCAGAGGGCATCAATATTTATTACAGTTGTACATGTATATCATTGGATTAGCAACGAAGTTCCAGAGAAGCTGCAAGATGTTTCCAAAGCTTAACTGAGCCCTCCATCTCTGAGGTATTAAGCCTGGTATGTTGGTTATTGTAAGATTTCGTCTTAATTATCAAACAAATTGATTCTTGATTTCAAATAACTGCCCTGTCTACAGAAGTCAGGCATATTCACTATAGACAAATACCTTTTCTAGGTCGAGTCTTTCTCTGTCTGTAGGACACTCTGGAATCTCTTGCCTGTAATAAAGTAAGTATAAATGTAAAAGCCTAACAGCAAAGTCTGTACCTATGCATTTTGCTAAGAGGTAATATAGCCTACATTAAGTGCCATTATTTAGGTAAACTGTCTGCTACTAAATACTAAGCTCCAGAAATTTAAACAGAAGCCATTTAAAGACGCCATTATCTTCTTCTGGTTAGACTAAAGTTTGCTAAACTGTCGTGTGGTGGTGGCACTTTCTGCTTCACAAGAAATCCTGATGTAAACACACTGACTACCTATATCTTAGTTAACTTGAGCTACCTGTAGGCATTGTAGATTTTTCAAATAATGTTTTCATTCCCTCAATTATGACACAAGCTGCTGGGAAAAGAATACTTCATAACACAGTCAATCAAATAAAAACTAAGAACAAGAACACAAAATTAATCTTCAAACATGAAAACAGAGACTTAAGCGCTCACACTCCTCCGAAAAATAAAACCATGTCAAAGACAAATGGTACGCACGATCAAGCATAGGCATACAGGTGGAAGTGTCCCAGCTATTTTTGTCTGAGACAGCAGCTTGTATGCCAATGCTTTATGAGGCATTTTTGTGCCACAATTTGGAATGCAAGATTACAAAAGTTTACAATTGGTAAAAAAAGGACTTTCCACAAGTAATGGCAATGGTATAAATACTGCAACAAACACATATAAAGATCTATGAATGCAAAAACAACAAGAAAATTATTTTACAAACTTCCAAAATGACTTATGCATGGTTCAATTTGACAAGTAACCATAACCCTGCCCGTAGTGCCCCCCCCTAATTGCTACTGTAATTTCCACCTTCCGCCACATTGAACACTTCACTCCCAAACAACCTACCCCTTTCCCTTCAAATGTAGGAATTTGACGTGTACTTCTACACGAAAAAATATAAAGATCTAAGAATGCAAAAACAACAAGAAAATTATTTTACAAACTTCCAAAATGACTTATGCATGGGTCAATTTGACCAGTAACCATGCCCGCCCCCCCCCCCCCCCCCCGATTTGCATTACTATTCCCGACCCCAGGCATAAATGCAGAAAGAAACAATATTCCCCACCCCGACCTCATAAAACAGGTTTTTGGGGTACATCCTTTTGAGAGCAAAATTGATTTCTGCACAATAGTAAAACAAAATGTATTCAGAGCTTTTATAAATGTGTTCTAGGGCTTATTTAGAGAAGAAGAATAATACATGTATAAAGTAGTTAAAACATCAACAATAAAATTGAAAACAAAAATGAAGAAAAAAACTCTTAATTGAGCTCCCCCTGGATAGAACACTTCATAAGAACACTGGACTGAATTTCTGTTTATCTATATATATTAAAACCTTTTTATCCATATTTTTCAGATAATTTAATAAAGTCTATTTAGGTTGTCTTATCATATCATTGAACTAGGCCGAAGAAATATTTCTTTGTTGCTTTTCCAAAAAAGATCAATGCATCATATGCACATTCGAGGAAAAAATTAAAATATACCTTTAAAAAAGGCTTAAATTTTGATAGGTTATTCCACTCCAACTGCTCTCTGACAAATTCCTGCAATTTCCCTTGAGAATGTGTAGTCTTGAGGTCTGCAGGAAGCCATCTTGCAAAATGTGCAAGAAATGACATTAACTTCACAAAATAAGAGGTGGGGAGAGAAGTTGTTTTTGATTTATCCCACCCCCTACCCCCAGGGACAGAGCCGTTTCAAACAATTCCCCACCCCCAGGCCCAAAGGGCTGGATTTGTCCAGGGGGTTGCCCGAAAGGGGGGGGGGGGTGGTAACAGGTCAAATTGAACCATGCATTAGAAAAATAGATGTTTTCATTCTGTCCTTGTCTAGTACCTGCCTCCTCCTCAGGTGCTTCATTTTTCGCATGGTTTTGCATAGAGGCAAGCATGAAACGCAAGTGACTGGTTACATGCAAAGTTTCATTGAGAGAGAGACGTCTGGGTACGAGGCAAGTCTAGTACTGTTTCACAGGTACAAGCAATGGAAAAAGGTACATCAGAATAAAACAAACCTTGTGCAAGAATGAAGTGGTACAATCAAGGCACTGTATATAATACAGGTATAAATTACAATTTCGTGTCATATAATATGTTGCAGTTAATATTTTATCGCCAGGTAATTTTTGTTTTTCTTTGGTTTTTGGGTATGGTAATGCATGCTAATGAAGTTGAAACAAAAGAAAAACAAAAATAACCTGACATAAAAAATTAACGACCACATATACTTTACGACATAACAAACGTTTCTCCTTTTGGGGAATTATTAAGTGGTACAAGTAGCATTTCAAAGTGCGTAGGTTTTTTTTGCTTTCCTTGTCGTACTGTGTTGTTCACCATCTAGCATGGTTATTTTGCTGTCATGCATTACCCGGGTATTACATTAAACTGACTAGACGTATCCAGGCATTGCCCGTGCTACCGTCACTCGTCTGTTGAAACTACGTACCTTCTAATCGCTTCATCGAGACAACCTTTGCAATATCTGTGACCACATCTAGTGAGAACTGGTTCTCGTAAAGGTAGATGACAAATAAGGCAGTGAAAATCCTCGAGTACGGCTGAAATAAATTCGTAGTCATATCCAGAAGGCAAAGGAAGCAGAGGAAAGATCTCCTCTTCCGCCATTGTGCTTCAAGTTCCTATCTTGAAGCAAGCGAGAGAACCCTGGGAACGAGGTATCGATCGTCCCCTCGGTTATCCCTCCACCCTACTTACCAGGGCGGATCCCTGCTACTCACACCCGACACACCCGACACGGTCATGTAAGCCGGGGTGAAATTTCACATTCAAGCGTCCTAATTCTAATTCTAATCGTATAATCTCCAAAGGGTATCCCATCACGGCAGATGTGCAGTTGTTCATGTGCTTATATTAAAAATACTCGCAACATAATTGACTTAAAAGTCAAAAAAAAGCGTCAGCGTTTTTAAAGATGGCACATCACGACCTTTTTGAAAGCCTCTACCGACTGCTTTTCAATCACACTATTTGACCTATTTGGTAAGCAGTTCCAGTCTCTGATTGTACGTGCAATAAAACTGTGTTGGTATTTGTTTGTTTTTGCACCAAGTTGAATGAATTTCTTAGGGTGGAATTGCCTATTG